CATCTTCAGATATGAGAAAATCACACAAAAAAATGTCTGTGAGACCTATAACTCACATTAATGACCTACTAAGTACTGCTGATTCTGTATTTTTATAACTGGGACATAGAGGAGGAACAAAGAGGGAACAATGAAGCTAAAACTAAATGAGAATGAGAGGATCCAAATATGCAGAGCTTCTCATTGTATTATAGGACTACCAAATATTACCTTTGGGCTCTTTCCCTAAGGAAAGTAAGTTAATGCTAAGTGCCATGTCTGCTAGCAACTGGGTCGCTAAAAGAGAGACTACACTAATGCCGGGCAACTTCCTAAGACACCTTGCCCTAAATGTAGTAAAACAGGACCCTGGAAGCCCTACTGTCCTACAGATCAAAGGAACCTTGTCCAGAGTCTCAATTGTTATCCCTGGAATGAAGATGCCCAAGGTTCCAGTTGGCCTTAATGCAATTACCACCATCAGTGGGATAATGAGATGTTGTAGGTAGAATCATAAGCTTCCTGATCAACAATGGGGCCTCTTATTCTGTTCTTACCTCCTATTCTAGGCAGCTGCTCATGGCTTATGTTGTTTTATGGGCAGCAGTGGAACTCAGGTGACCAAATGCTTTATCCTTCTGTGCTACTTACGGAATAGTTTTCTACTTACCAGTGCTTTTTTGTTAATGCTCAAGTAGCCCATACTTTTACTTGGCTACAACTTATTAAAGAAGAGAGGATCAAATAATTTTTGGCTCACCCAATAGCCCCACAGTTATGACAGTGGTTGCCTCTCCCAGCAGTGTTGACAATGAGTTTGTCCTTACTGACCTTTATATTGAGTCCAAGGTATGAGCCACTGACACATCTGGTTGATCTATTATTTTCATCATGATAGTAATTAAATTAAAATACATACATCTCCACACTGTAAGCAGTATTTTTTTTTACCTGAAACCCAAGCAAGGCTACAGACTCAAATAAGTTCCTTTGCTATGGGGTTTTAGTGCCTTGTCTGGTACCTTGTAATACCAAATTTTAGATGTCAAGAAAGAAGCCCAATGGTGATTACCACTTAATGCAAGATCTCCATGCTATAAATGAGGCCATTATTTTTATACATCCAGTAGTCCTTTATTCCCATACTCTCCTGAGCCAAATTGCTTCGAGTGCCCAGTTGTTTATAGTCCTAGACATTAAAAATGTAGTAAGTCCCCAACTTACAAATAAGGTCCATTCTAGGAGAATCTCCATAAGTTGGATTCATTCATAAGTCCGACAAAGTGAGTCTTATACAACTTCAGCACAAATATACAATGTACAGTTTATAGCATTGCACTTCCTAGCAGTCTCCTTCACCTCACCACTGCTTTTCTTCTTGCTTCCGAATGTCCTGAACTCTGAGCACTGTACTACTGTACACTATTGCCCTGTACAGTAAGTACACAGCAGCACAACTTTCACAATGTCCAGCAGACATGTGAGCTACTTCTGCGATTTGTTCACATCTATAAATGTCCATAATGTGAGTTCCATGGATATCTGTGAAAGTTAGCAACTCAAATGTTCGTAAGTCAAGGACTTACTGTGCCTTCTTTTGTATCCCAATAGCACTTGAATCCCAATTCCTTTCTGCCTGTAAAAGGACTAGTGAGCTGGGTTGGACCAAACAGGCTAGTTGGACTTCACTTCCTCAAGGATTCAGGGACAGACTCCATATTTCTGAACAGGTGTTAACCAAGAACATAAGTAACCAAACTTTATTCACTGGGGGCTATTATTTAATATGTGGATGATCATTTTATTTGTTCTTTTTCTCTTATGCTTCTGCTTGGACATCTGCCACATGACTAGGTGCATGGACTGGGGGCCATGGGAGCAAGTGTGGCACTTCATCAGCCCACAAGTCACAGACCTAGTTGAGGATAGCGTTGGCTCCAGGTGCACAGAAGGACACAACAAACATCAAAATCCTCTTGAATAAATACACCCCTGAGGCAGACAACCTACTATTGACTAGCAGGACTTGGCAGCCACATAGCAACACCTTGCTCAGTGGGTTTGGAAAGACGAGAGCCCCAATTGTGACAATTCCTACCCTAAACCTGGTGGATTCCAATATTACAGGTCCTGAAAAGGAATTTTACCCATCCAAACATGTCAGAGAGGAACTTTGGGGGCTCACTTCTCTTTTTGTGTTTTCTTTTTCCTCCTCTTTTTTTCTTCATTTTCTTGTCTGTTGTTTTTTATATTACTTTTACTTAATTTTATTTACTGTTATATCCTTATTTACTTTATTTATTTATTTATTTATTTTCCTTTATTGGGGATCATACCCAAGACCTTGCACTTGCCAGACAGGTGCAGCACCATTGAGCTAAATTCCCAGCCCAGTATTTACTGTTTTATTCTTCAATTGGGTTTTTATTCCACTTTTTTCTTCTTCTTTCTCATTTTATCTGCCTTATTTCTTTTTAAAAATCATCTGCTTCTTTCACTTTTACCTTTCCCTACCCCTCAATATGTTATTATTAATTTATAAACATTTACTTATTTTTAATCTTTTAGTTTATGATATATTATTGCTGCTTTCTTTTCTATTGTTATTGGTGGTATAGTTTCATACATATATTATTGGTATATACCTGCAATACATAATAATTATAATCATCTTGGGGAATTGATACACATACATACCTCATCTTAATCATTTTAATTCACCTTTCCTTCTGCATCCTTTCATCTCCATCCCAAATCTCCTTCTCATATCCATAGTTTGTACCTTCTTATTTTTCACAATCTTTATTTTACTTTGCTCTTAAAATTATATTTTGGATTTCTCATATAAGAGAAACCATAAGATATTTAACTTTCTGTATCTGGTCTATTTCACTTTGTATTATGGTGTCAACATCCGTCCATTTTCCTACAAATAAATCAAATTTATCTTTCTTTATGGCTGAGTAGTACTTCATTGTGTATAAATATTACACTTGAAAAAATTCATTCATCTATTGGTGGACATATAGGCCACTTCCAAGATTTAGTTATTATGAGTTGTGCTGCTGTAAACATGGGTAGACATAGATAACTGTGACATGATGTCTTTAGCTCTTTTGGGAAGATACCAAGAAAAGAAATACCTGAGTCAAATGGAATTTCTAGTTTTAGATTTTTGAGGGATCTCCATACTAATTTCCACAGTGGCTGTACAAGTTCACATTAATACCAGCAATGTAGAAGGGTTCCTTTCACCCTGCAGCCTTGCCCACATTTGCAATTTCTTTTTTTTTTTTTTGCTTAAATTCTTTTATTGGTACATTGTAGGTATACAATACATTACATTTATCATTGGGTACTTGTACCTGTACATTATATATCTTGGTTCTCATTTTCCCCCCTCCCTGTCATCCCTTCACCCCCTTTACACTTCCCTATTTACAAAGACTTTGGTAGCTATTCTTTCTGGAGTAAGATACAATCTCAGTGTTGTTTTGATTTGCATTTCTCTAATGGCCAAAGGTGTTGAACATTTTTTCACATACTTATTGGCCATTTGAACTTCTGAGCATGCAGATGGAATCCAAAAACAAGCAAGATTATACTCATATCTGACAAAGCAGACTTCAAGACAAAATTACTCAGAAGAGACAAAGAAGACCACTACACACTGGTAACAGGAAAAATACACCAGGAAAATGTAACAAATGTAAATATATGCACTGAAAACAAGTGAACCCAAGTTCATAAAACAAATACCATGTTTTATAAACACCGATAGACCCCATTACAATAATAGTGGGTCACTTAAATACTCCGCTTACACTAATAAATGGGTTATCCAGACTAAAAAAAATATCAATGAAACACCAGAGTTAAACTATACCATAGTTCAAATAGATTTAGTGGACATTTACAGAACATTCCATCCAACAGCTAGAGAATATATATTCTTTTTTTTATTAGTACATTTGCAGTACATAGTGATTACATTTATTGTGGGGAGTTAGTAGATGTACACAATACATCCTAATTTTTCTTTTTTATTTTTTTCTCATTTCCTATCTCTTCATCCCTCTTGCTTCCTCCAACTCTTGGCCCCCTTCCCATTTGCAAGAACTCTATTTTCATCATTATTTATTCCCATCAAATATTTTTTCTATTCCCCTTTCCTCCTCTTCTTCCCCCTCCCTCCCTGTCTTGTTTCTCCACTCATTTGAAAAAGATCTCCCTACTGTCTATCTATCTATCTATCTACCTATCTATCTATCTATCTACATATCTATTATTTTTCTCCCCACCCAAGGTCAGTTAAACCAATATTCAGGGAGTCATCAAAGATGGACAGGTTTGATGAAACTCCTTCCTCTGAGGGGCCAACCAAGGAGACAGGTGACTGCTAAGGGACTGTCCTTTGTTGGAGAAGCTACTTGAGATCTGAAATCCTCTCCCAGGGGCTGACCCATTTGCTTACTTGGGAGTCTTCCAACCCTGGAAGGATAGGTGTATACTCCTTGAGCCTCCTGAGGAGCCTCCTGAGGAGCCTGACGTCCCTATGAATGAAGCAGGTGATTGGTGACCAAGCAGCTGGGTTCTCTTTCTATATCTCAATGAGTCTATTAAGAACAGGGTCCCTGAGGCCCTCATGCCAGACCAGATCAGAAATTTCTCCTCCTCAGCTCAAGATGGGCTCTAGGTGGAACCTATTATGAAAAATCTAGGGTGGGAAATGTTAAACCTTGAATAAAATGGAGACCTGGCCTTTTTCCCTGACAGGTGTGTCTTCCTTTGAGCTCGCAGAGAAGAATCCATTGTCTAAATACAGCCACAATGGGAGGCTCAGAAGCTAGATTGATGTGGGGCATCTGGGGTCATAAGGTAAAGCCACCTGGAAGGGTATGCTGGGTCAGGCTGCCATGAGATCCTGATACCACAGGGCAGATATCAATTCATCTTCCTTCAGAGGGGACTAAGGCGCAACCTGTGTCTCTTTCCTTCCAAGAAAAGATAAGCACTCCATGTGACATTGGAAACTTTATTACAGGGAAGGGGGAGATAGAGACATTTAAATGAGATATAATCAGGTAGCCAGAGACCATGGAGGAGAGATTTAAATGGAGAGATTGGGTGACAGTCTGGGTGGGAGAATGGATAGGCTGAATAATGGCATCCCAAGATATAGAGATCCTAATCACAGGACAACTATGAATATGTTCTTATCATACGTATTATTGCAGTGGGTACAATGTGATCACAAAGATCTTTATTAATAGATAAGTGATGGGAGAAGACATAGAGAGATTTGAAGATGCTGTAGAATTTGAATATTGAGGAAAGGTCTCCAAGCCCAGGAATGCAGCTTTGCATGATGGAAAAGGAAAGTGAAGGCACACCAACAGCTGTGGAGGTAGCATGGCCCTGCAATTACTTTGGATGTATCTCAGTAAAACACATATTATAATTCTGATCATGAAAACTATAGAGGAGATTTTTGTCCCTTAAAGCCACTATGATTTTTTTCTAATTTGTTATACCAGCATTTGGAAGCTCATATAAGGACAGTCAAGCAGCAGAAAGGAAAAAGAAATTTAGAGGGTCAGGCTCTTAAAGAGAAGGCAAATAATCAGGGGTTAGATGGACAGAGATGCAGGCAGATGGGAGACATGTAGACAGACAAGCAGATGGAGAAGATAGGAGAGTTAAAAGCAGACCTCCAGGAAGATGGGAAGCACAAGGGCAGGCTGGTAAGACAGTGGGAGGATAGAAGGAAGGATGTGGAGGAATGGATTGGAACAGGGACAGGGAAATGGGATGTCAGGCAGGAGACTCTCAGAGCTGTCCTCGTCCCCACCAAGAGTATTTCATTTCAGCTTCCTGAGATGCAGGTAGATCCCATTCTTGGACTTCAACACAATTCGTGCCATAGGCAGTGGGATCCTGGTGGGGTCTGGCAGCAGCTCAAAGCGGAGCAGGGTCAGGGCCACAGCTACCTTCATCTCATTCATGGCAAATTGTTTACCAATGCAGTTCCTGAGCCAGGAAGGGACAGTGAAATGAGAAGTTACCCTAGGCCCTGTTCAAAGATGGACAGGCTCTGGCCCCAGCCCAGAGCTGGGCATCCAGGTTGCACCTTCATGAGCCCAGATCAACCCCTTTCCTCTCACTCAAACTTCTATTCCAGGCCTTGGTTCATGCTCTCTTGACCTTTGTCAATTCCCACCACTCTTTCAAGGCTCTCCCTGACCCTCCTCTGCTCTCAGAGGCATGAAATCTCCTTTAGGACAGAGTCAGTGGTCTAAGGGACAGAGTCCTACCACATGGTTAGTTCACTTCCTCACTAAGGGTCTTTGGTTTCCTAATGTGGAGATCACTAATCAGTGTCACACAGGGAAGAGTGGGCTACACTCCCTAGGATCACTGTCTCTGTGGACAAAACATCTACATTTGTAAGAGCAATCAGGTGTCAGTGGAGAGGTTCTTAGGATGAGGATCCTTAAATTGAACCCCATCTGCCTTTCACTCAATAATCAACATCTTGCCTTCCATTTATCCTCACTGAACAGCAGCATCAGTAGCCTTCTAATTTTACTTCAGAAGTGTCCCTGCCTGCCATCTTGAGTTTTCTCTTCTAGAATTCTCTTGTGTGCATCTCCCCCACCCCACTGGCCTTCCCATGCCCTCCATCAAGCAGGACTGTGTCCAAATATCTCAGCTACATCACCCCTTCTATGGGCTGTCAACTCACCCACTTTTTGCCTGTCCAACACTACATCCTTGATCACATCAAAGTCATTGAGTAAATCCTCTCTCCACCTCTGCCTGAACATCCTCAAGGCTCAGGTCAATGACCACCTGGCCTCCACCCATCTCCCACCATTCCTCTCCCCACTGGGCCCCCAATGAACCATCAGTGCTTTCTTCAAGGACACACCACAATCCAGGGGCTGGGACAGTGTCGGGAACCTGGAACATTCCACATGACAGAGTGAAAGAATGAGGCAAGGAATGAGATTTGTATTGTATATAGGTGTCTAATTCTGTAATGCACCTTTTTGTTCTACTTATTGAAGCAGGGGAAGAATCCTCCCACTCTATGTTCCTATTTCTTAGCATAGAACTTGGCACAGATAAATGTACTTTCAAATACTTTTGTATTTTCATGAAAGTAGTTGAACTGAAATAAAATAAAATGCAAAGGAATACACAGAGGGCAAATTTTTCTAGCTAGTAATTGAGCTATCTCATACTCTCCTGTCCTCCAATGATAGTGTCAAGATTTCTATCTAATGCATAAAAGGGAGCATTCAAACTTAGGGAAACTTATCCTAGAAAACTGGTTTCTGGAAAAACAACATACTTAAAGCCTTTTCTGTAAAAGTTTATGCACCATGGTGAAATTCACAGAATTGATTCAGAAAAATCTTCTTTGCATTAATCATTTACAAGTATCTTACCAATGTGTATTCCACAAGATGAATCCTACAGCCCTCATGATATTCAGAGCAACCACTTGGCATGTGCTGATCCAGCTCAGCAATTATTTCAGGCGTTTTTGTTACTGTATATCCCAGTATAGGCTGCCGTCATAACTAAGTTGTGAGTTTTCTCTCAGAGGCAGGTTAGTGGCTCATTCTTATGTTTTTGTGAAAGTGAATGTGTAGCGATCCCTTGTCACTTACAGTATCTTTCTGACTGAGTTAGCTGACACAGATATGTAGTATCAATATGAGGTAAAATTTTGGGAGCCAGAAGTTCAAAATGTGTGATACAACATTCACTATTGTCCATTTCTCTATACATAATGGACAGCAAACTTTCAGACATGTGGCTTCAACAGTAGCACCAGTGAGACTGGTGGAATTCTAAATATATATATGAACATTTCAGTGGTTCATTACAGTGACTCATGAATTAAGAAGAAAAGGTAGTGGGTTGCGCTGAGAATATGGGAAGGGATAGAGTCAACCTTTGAGATGCCTAGTAGTTGGATAAAACTAACACTTGAAGGCTAGCTTACATGAAAAAATCTAAGTCTTAAAATTCAAACTTCAAAAGTGAGTAAAACACCTACATAAATACATAGAAGTTTGAAACATGTACTGACATGAATTTTTGCCTGGCTGCTGGGAAGACCAATGTGTGAAAATCTCCATGGTGTGTCCTAAAATGCCACATTTCTTTTAGACACAGACTTACCCACATGATGCCTCTTACCCTCAAATGCAAACAAAGGTATACCTGAAGATGCCACATAGAAACCTAGAGGGTCACAAATATCAGATATGTGCCAAGAGGAACCCCCCCCCCCACACACACATTAGCACACACAAGATGCCATACCTTGATCCTCCTGAGAAGGGCAGGAATGAGTGGCTGTGTTGGGTAGAATCCACTGCAAACCGAGAAGGGTCAAACACCTGAGGAGAGATAGCCAAGGCCAGTTCAGAGAGGAGTCAAGCTCTTGCTTCTAAACCATAAGGAAAAGGGAAGCCCAGAGGTGGGAGCAGGGAGAGCAAGAGGAAAAAAAGGGGAGATTCATTCTGACAAGTCACCCCCTCCACTCCTCCAGGGCCCTCATACCTCTGGGTTTGGCCACACCTTTGGACTGTGGTGAAGGGTATAAATGGAAAGTGAGACGATGATACCTGTTGGGCACAGGTAGGAGACAGAGAGAAGATTGATTACATCCAGGAGGTAGGCCCATGGCCTCATGGCCATGTAAGGGACATATATACAGAAAAAGCTTCGGGGAGGCAAATCATCACTTTTAGCAGGATGATATTATTATGGGGAACAAGGGTGGCCATGGCAAAGCACTTATAACAGGCGAGGAGCAAAAAATGGTGAACTGATAAACAAGAGGAAAAAAGAACTGGAGCATCACTGCTTATGACAACTCAAATTCATCAAATCCTGTCCAGGAGCCATTGCAAAAAATACATTAGCTCCCTCACTATACACAAACATCCTCCAAGAAAGACTCTGTTTTATATCATTTTTCAGATCAAATACTGAAATCTCAGTGAGACTGATGATCTTCCCCATGGTCACACATGATGGATGTGGCAGGTCTGGGATCAGACTCAATGCTGAATGAGCCCATGGGTGATTTCTCTCCACAAGGGGCCTCAGATCATCAGCTGCTCTCTTCAATTAACCCAAGGGTGCTTCAGAGACTGGACCACATTTTGTGCATGACATGGGAATCCATAATCTCCCATATTTGCTTTCATAAATGGAAAGAGCCACATCACCTTAGCTCTTACCTTATTCTCTCTGCTCCACACAACTCAAGGAATGGGAATTTCAGGGTTAATGTCCTGAGGCCAATATTTAATCTAGAGCTTCGCATTGACTTGATAAGATGTTGATGAATTCAAGCTCTGGATCAAGAGTTTCATAAGCCCTTTTCTAACTTCAAGGTAAAGGTTCAATCTACTGATGGGGAAAGAGAGACTCTGCACGGTTCAGAACTCCTGAAGGACATATGGACTTCCAATCTTCCCTTGTCCCTGTTGGAATCCTAAGTGAGTCTAAGAAGGTCATACCTTTGGGTAAGGAGCGTCCATCAGGGAAGGTGACAGGTTTGCTAAGCTCTCTGCTCACACTTGGTACAGGTGGATAGAGCCGCAAGGCCTCCTTGATGCACATGGTCATATAGGGCATCTGGTCCAGGTGTTCCCTGGAATGAAGCTCATCTTGAAGGGCAGGAAGGGTCCAGAAATCCCAAAGTCTTCCCCTACAAAAAAGGCTGTATTCTCCCACACCTTGAGCTATTACTCACCAAGTGATAGAGGCTTCATCCCCCAGGATAGTCTGGACCTCCTCCCTGCACTTCTGTTGATGCTCAGGGTGTGCAGCTAGAGCATAGAGGATCCAGGAGATACCACTGGCTGTGGTATCATGGCCCTCAAACATGAATGTGTCCACTTCAGCACGCAGATCCTTATTAGAGAAGCCATTTCCATCATCCATCTGGGGGCAGACATGGGTAAGCAATCAGAGTTTGTCCCTCACTTTGTGCTTCTGGGCAAAGGCTTAGGCCTCTCCCATACACACTCACTTTGGCGAACAGGAGGATATCCAAGAAATCCAAGCGCCTCTTTCTCTTGATCTTCTCTAGCTCTCTCTCATTCTGCAGCTGAGACTTCCTCTGCTTGATCACTCGGTCTATTGCAGGACAGAGGTTACCAGATAGAAATGAGAGCTACAGCAACACAGAGTGGCCCCATATGTCTGCCCCTCTACCCCATCTAGAAGCCCTGCAGAGTTCAAGGTGTGTGTGGGTGTGTGGGTCAGGATTTGGGAGACTAAACTACCATTTGATGTAGGTCAGGTCTCACTGCAGGAGCACACCCATGGAGCCTGTCCCATCAGAGCACACCCATTGAGTCTCTATCCACCTCTACCAAATGTTTTTCATTCAGCATCACCAATGAGAAGGTCTCATTCAACATCACCAATGAGAATGCACAAGTAATCCCCTGCATACCACCTGAAACACTAATATCACATTTTGTAAGTGATGTACCAACATAAGTGTGTCCCAGGTCCTCCAGGACCACAAGTGACCCTGGCTCCGCCTGAGGGGTCATGGCCAACTCTATTGGTCTGAGCCTGGTAGAGGAGGGGAAACGGGAGATAGAACCTGTGTGCTCATGGGCAAGCTTGCAGGCTTGTTTGAACAATTGGCCATTTGAAGACAAACTGTAGATGATGTCACTCTGTTGAAAAACGCTCCTAATCCGGGAAAAACTCAGATCTTTTAGGTCTTCAATGGCTTGGATGTAGGAGCGAGAATTCCTGAGAAAGAAGATGCAGAACAGATTGAACTCAGAAGAGGCCTGATCTGGATGGATGTAGAGTGGTGATTCTGTTAATGGTGGGGACACAAGATACCGAGGCACATGTTATTTCTGTTTTACAATCCTTGTGACTCTCAGATCCTTAGAACATGGCATAAATATCCAGGCTTCCAGTCAAGCTAGGGATCAAGGGTCTGTCACTGGGGCCAGTGTTGAATCTGGTCAGGATTTAGAGTTGGCCCAGGGCTGGAGTCAGAATCTTGCTTTGTGTGGAGATGGACATTCAAGCTGTCCCACCTCTCTTTCAGTAGTAAAAAGAAGTTGGGTCTACACCAATAGTAAAAAGGACTTTGTAGATGAAGGTTGTTACCGACCTGTCTAATTGGGCACAGCTCTTGTGGCTGAAGGCGCACTTCATGATCGAGTCCAGTGTCATCAAGGAAACATGTTGAAAGATCTCCAGAGGGGAGTCCTGACTGATGA